TGAGTGGATACAGAAAATGTGGTATATCTACACAATGGAATACTACTCTGCTATAAAAAAACGAATGAAATACTGTCATTTGCAACAACATGGATGGACCTTAAGAGAATTATATTAAGTGAAACAAGTCAGGCACAGAAAGAGAAATATCACATGTTCTCACTTATTTGTGGGAGCTAAAAATAAATAAATAAATAAATAAATACACAAATAAACTGGGTGGGGGTGGAAGGGAAGACGACACAACAATTACAATTCCTTGAAGTTGATATGACAAGCAAACAGATTTGAGGTTGTTGGGAGGGAGTGGGGAGAAGGAGGAGGGAGGGATGTTTCAGTAATGGGCCACAGTAATCAACCACATTGTATTAAAAAAAAAAAAAAAAACAAAAATAGGGTAATGGTTCCTAACTCAAGTTGCAGAAAACCAACTAGGGAGCCTTAATGTTTAAGTACTACTCCTACCCCTACTTCTAGAGATTCTGATTTAATGGGTTTAGGGTAGTAGCAAAGAATTCATTTTTAGTTTTTTTAATTCTCCAGGTGATCATATTTTGCAATTAGGGTTGAAAAATGGTGGAGAATAGAAGTGGATGTTGTGCTTGGTATTATGTTTCAGGGAAAAACAAGACTCAAGTCAGTGAGGCAAAATGGAAGTAATGATTTCCAAACTATAAAAAAATCTTAAAAAGATAAAACAATAAATACTTCTACAACCCACAAAATTCCACAAATATAGAAAGCTCACTTACTAGCTATAAATTTCTAGAAAGGATTTGTTCTAATTTAGTTCTCTTTCAAATGATATTTTTCTATTACATAGATGCAACATAAAGTACTTAAGTTCCTTTTTTCCTTAACAATACTACTTGATTTGTTCTATTCAACTAAAGAAGAAGAATGTGCATTTTTTCCAGGTTGATGAATATATTCATATATACTCCAGATATATGAAATGTGGGCACAAATGTATAAAATTCCGTGAAATTTCATATACATGGAACATACCTATATTCAGATACACATACTAAGGTCACACCATAATTAGTCAACCATTCCATTATTGATAGAGAGATAGGTTCTATCAAATTTTTTGTACTTACAAATTATACCACATATTTTCTTACATATTAGTTCTCTTATTTCTGTGGGTTAAATTCCTACAGATAATAGAATGCTACATCAAAGAGTGTGGCACATTTTTTAATATAGGTACTGGTTGATAACTTTTCCAAAGGTTTTGACAGATAATAGCCCACCAAAAGAGTATGAGAAGGCCAACTTTTCCATCCATTCACCAATATTCAATATTAATAATAATTTTTATATAATTCCTTGGTTTAGTAAAAATGGAGTTCCTGAATTCTCCTGCCATGAGCATGTATAACTACATGTCATCTAACTATGAACTATGCCAAAAGTTCTCTAAAACACAAATAAGTTTTACACAATTTTACTTGAATAATCCTTACATTAACTTTTTTTTGATAGAAACCATTCACTTGCCTGAAGACAAAAGGCTATTAATCATCTCCAAAAATGTAGGATGTACAAACTGGTAATCCTCAAGAAGCAAAACTACCTGCTGTGCTTCGATTCCTGCAAGATGCAGTACCTTCAAAATAACAAAATATTTTTTAATACTCTTCAAGTATTTTTGGTACAGTTAAAAATTATCATTCTATAAGTAAAGTATGTCACTATCATGAATTTATTTATTTATTTATATTTGAATAATCAAAATTAAAAATCAAACTTTAGCCATACAGTTTGGAAAGTAAACCCAGCCCATGAATAAATACTACTTGAGGGAAATTTTAATTATTTTATAGCTAGGATGTTAAAAAGAAAACTAGAGAATCATTTTTACATATACCCACATATTTCCTACATAATCCATTCTTTTGTTTATCATTTACATCCATCCAA